CCTCCTCTGCTTTCCAGAGTCTCCACTCTCCATGTGCAGCCAGAGGCTCTTCTAAAATCACAAGTCAGATCACTTTACTCCCCTGCCCCAAACCCCTCAAAGCACTGACCCTGATCCTGACCTCCAAGCCTCTCCGGGACCCCCATGCGGTGCTGGAGCCCTGCCCAGCCTTTCCTGCCTCAGAGCCTCAGCTTGCCTTTTCCTCTTCCTGGAAGGTCTTCCTCCAGTCCTCCAACAGCTCTTTCCTGTCGTCTTGACCGATGGCAACCCTCGCCAGCCTCTCCCAGCACCCCCCCGTTCTGTGTCTGTCCTAACCCTCATCAGGACCTGGAAGTGTCAGCCACCCCATGAGAATGTTGGCTCCGGGAGAGCAGGGACCGAGTCTGTCCCGTCCACCGCTGTGACTAAGAGCCTCACGTGTCTGACACAGAGCAGGGGCTCAGTGAGCATGTGTGGAATGACGAATAAGTGAATGGATGGATGAATGAATGAATGAATGAAGAGAAGCAGGCCCAGCAGATCGATGACTTATAGCCCTTCTGTGTGCGTCTTAGCAGAAAAAAGGTTGAGAGCCACTGAACGAAGTAATCTCAGAGGTTCTTCCAGCTGGAGGAAGTTCCCCCTTCTCAAATCTGTGTGGTTCAAATAAAGGACATCCTCTGGCTGGTGGAAAGCCGGGCTGATCTGTCCAGACCGAAGACATTCTCTAATACTCAAGAGCTGTGACCATCTTAAGCCTCATCTACATCTACGAAAGGCAGATAATTAACATTTACCTTGAAGTGTTGTTGACAACGACATGAACTTACATAGTCCTGCACGGAGGTCTTCACTAAGTGATGGCTGTTATTATCAACATCAGAGGGCCAAGGAGAGCCGGCAGGTGAGGTGACTAGCTGGGAGAGCCCTGCTCTAGCTGCTGTCACCCACCTGGGCTTGACTGGACAGGCTGTCTGTGAGTTTTTGCAAGAGAAAATGAAAGCAAACACAAACAGGAAAAGTCCCCAGCCCGGTGCCTGGAGTGGAGTGGGTGTGGAAAGGACATTATTTAAATCAGAACATCTCTGAATGGTCCCATGTTGGGAGCATGGTAAGGCAGAACTGCCCATCACCTGCCCAGAAAGGGTTCCAAGGGTCCTGGAGGAGTAAGCCCCGCCCCCAGGCCTCTGGGCAACTGGGCGGGGGACTGGGCAGGGCCAGGGCCGACTGGAGCTCCTGGGTAGTCCCTGGTGGCTGTCTTCTCTCTCCCCTGGCCCCAGGGTGCAGTACTGATGGTTTCTTTTTCTCTGTGTGCCATGGTGTGAATGAAGTCTGGGTATACTGGTGTGAGAGATGTTGCCCAGGTGAGGGAGGTGGGTCCCTCACGGACCCTGGCCTCCAGCGGCCCCTGCAAACACTCCGGAGCTAACAGGGGGCATGGGGGCTTTGGCACGCTGACATAAGCTGCGGCCCTCTGGGCCCACAGTCTCCTCCCCTCCTATATTTACACGAGGTCTTCGGTTCCCAGCACAGAGTACATGCTCCATAATGCTTGCTTACGTTCTATACCTTGCCTAATTGCACAATGCATTAGAGATTGAACAAATGCTGGTTGGTGATACCTATGATAGAAAAGTCCACAAAGATTTATGACTTCTTTCCTGTGTCCCCAGCTTTGGGCTGAGTGTCACCAAAGACACAAAGAAAGAATGAGGTGGGCTTGGGAAGGGAGGGAGCAGGAGGCTGATGGGGATGGGGATGGGCTAGTCCAGAACGTGGTAGGGGAGAGAGAGAGAGACAGAGAGACAGAGAGACAGAAACAGAAACAGAGGCCGAAATAGACGAAGAGAAGAGAAGAGAAGAGGAGGGGAGAGGGGAGGAGAAGGGAAGGAAGGGGAGGGGAGAGAGAGTATGTTATGCAATTTGGGCATCACCTGTACATTCTCACTTCTGAATGCCTTCATGCTGCCGTCAGCCCAACCTCAGAGCTAGGCTCCACTGGGTAGTCAAGTACTTGGTTCTATTTTTAATGGCAAACCCAGAAGCTGTTTGGGAAAGGGCAGGATGACATGGTGGGAAGAGCTTTGTAGTGACACAAAGGCTCAAATCTGGCCCAGCAGCCTCCTACCTGGGTGCGTCTGGGCAAGTGCCTTACCCTCTCTGAGCCTCTGTACCCTCGGCTGCAGACGGGGGTGCAGACAGCATCCTCTCGGGGCTGTGTGAGCATGCCATGTGCTAACATGCACAGGCTCTGAGCGCTTGTCCGATAGAGAGGGACTCGGCGGGGGCGGGGGCAGAAAGAGGCTGGGGTGATGGTAGCCCTGCCCGGCTGGGGGCAGGCCTGTCCGACTGCAGGGATGCCTTCAGTACACAGAGGGCTGGGCTCTCCGGGACCCGGCAGGATCATCGACGGGAAACAACCAGGAAACGGAATCACTGTGAGTTGCCACAAAACCCTTCGGAGTCCCACCGTCACAACCAGTGCTTTGTTAGCAGCCGGCTACAGGATTTCTCCAGGTTCATCCCAGAGGCTTGATCTTTTCTTTTTTTCCCCCATGTAAAGCTTTGGGGGTACTTTGTTAGAGAACAGGTGGAAATCATGCATTTTACACACAAAGTCAACACTGGGGTGACCAGGGCCCCAGGGAGGTGCTTGGGATGGCTGTGCTGTCTGGGTCCTGGCCTGGACCGTCGCTGGCAGGTGGAGGCATCACCGGGGTCAGGTGACTGTACTTCCCCGAGGTCTGCCGGCAGTTTCCACCCAGGTCCAGGGATGGATGATGCTAGCCACAGCAAGGAATCCTGAACCAGCTCTCCCAGCCCTAGGTTGGTCCGAGGATGTTCCAGCCTTTGGATGTGGCCTGGTTTGGCCCTCAGAACCCCTGAGCTTGAGTGGGGCGGGGGGTGAGGGTGGGGATGACAGGGGCAGCTCAGTTCTTACGGTGAAGTCCTCCAGATGGCAATTCCCCACTCTCCCTCCGCCAGCAGAGCCAGCTGCCCAGATCGGCTTGGGGCTCTCTTGATGAACACCGGGTGCAAACGGCTCCAGGCAGCTGGCTAGATGCTAAGTGCAGCATCAATCCTAATTAGGATGAGGAATTAATAAAGGAGGCATTCGAGCTGCTCTGCAGAGGCCAGGCTGGCCGCTGTGGAGGAGTTAGTTCCGATTTCCACGGGGAAACTGGGAGGCCTGGGGTCCACGTGTGCATCTGGGTGGTGACAGTGGCATGACTTACCGTGCCACGCAGAGCCTGTGAGGTAGAACATGGGGGCTCTGCAGCCCCTGTTGTGTGTCTAATTCAGGTGATGTGGCAGGTAGTGACGTGGGTACATTCTCCAGTTGAGAAGAGTAGGTGTTCGTGATCTGAGCAATTGCACACCAGAAATGATGTTTTTCAGAAGAAGAGAGGAGGGTGTGATCGTGGGCCCACCGATCCTTTGTGTGGCTGTGTTTCCCAAACTATTGATTGCACATGCCCGCTCCTCCAAGACTCCACTTAGCCTTGGCATTAAACTCCAGATGGCAGAGGGCAAGGCAGCCTCGTTTGGGAGAGGGTGTGGGGGGCAGAGATGGGCAGGATTCCCGCCAGAGCAGGTCTAGGAGGAGGGGAAGGGCGCAACTTCAACCTCGCGGAGCCGACCCAGCTTTATAAAGCCTTTTTTTAGAGGACTCCAAATGTGGCCAGAAAAAGGGCCATCTCTTTAAGAGCTCCCTACCAACCTCCACCAAGCTCCAACGCCGCTGAACTATTTGCAGGGGCTGTAACTGCAGTAAGGAAGCCTGAGTGTGTGGGAGAACTCCCCGAATAACGGAGGGGCGGAGTTAACGCACGGGAAAAGGTTACAGAAAAAGAAAGAGGAAACTCTGTCCAAGGATATCGGAAAGGAACGTTCCGCCAACTTCCCCCCCATCCCTCCTCCAGTCTGAAAGCCAAGACCAAGCGGCAGGCCCCGTCCACAACCTGGCTGGGACCAGACCGCCCCTCCACAGCCACCTGTTAGTTCCAGTTCCGCAGCAGGGCGGGCGGCAGGCGCTGAAGTCGGGCGCATTGAGCCACTGGAGGCGTCCGGGCCCCTCCCGCAGAGGGAGCGGTCCCCACGGTCCCGGGACACCCAATCCCGGCCCCCCAGAGGCGTTCCAACCTTACAACACCCACTACACGGCCTCCTCGCGCATCTGGGGGGGGCGCAGCGCCCCGCCCCTCTTGCCCCGACGGGGCGGCCACGCCCCTCCCAGGCAGTTGTCGGTGCGCGGGTCGCCCGAGCACACTCCGGTATCCTGCCGAGGTCTCCCGCAGCCTCCCTGCCAAGGGACCGCGACCAAGGGCTTGCTCCCCGAGTCGGGGTGGGGGGGAGTCTCGGTGACGCACCCCTCCCTCCCCACCGAGCAGGGAGCAGCGGGCCGGGGCCCCGTGGAAGAGTAGGTGGCGGAGCAGGGTCTGGGCGGCGTCAGGCTCCGGCGACCCCGTTCGCCCGGAGCCGCCCGGAGCCCAGCCCCCACCCCCACCCCTCGGCCCCGGCCTGGAGCCAGCGAGGAGCGGCCCCGGCGCTCCCCGCCCCCGGCCGGCCCCGCCCCAGGATGGCCAGTTCCCATAGCAATCGCACAGACACCGGTTGCCAAGCAACCCCTCCCCCTCCTCCCTCCCCTCCTCTCCGGTCCGCTCCCCCCAACCCCAGCCTCCTCCCGCCCCCACGCCATCCTCCACCTCCCCCGGGGGCTCCGGCGCGGCCCCTCGGGATCGCTCCGGTCTCGGGCTGCACGCGCGCCCGTGTGAGTTTCGGTGTGTTTCATTGTCTGTGTGCGAGGGGGTGTGCGTGTGCGTGGAGTTTGTGGGATCGGTTTGAGGGACCCCGAGCTGGTGCACAGCTGGCCGCGAGGGGACCCGCCCGCTCGCTCCGGCTCCTTTGTGTGTCGCGCGAAGCCAGTGCCGCGCCCACCCCCTTCCCGGCCGGCACCCGGGGCAGGGTGTGCGTGTGCGTGTGTGTGTTGTGGGGTGGGTGGGTGCCAGGGCCGGCCGTACCTTCGATGCAGCACACCCGCCACAGCCCCGAGTGGGTGAGGTCGCCGCGGGCGCGGCGGGGCGCGGGCCCGTCGTCCATGGTCAGGTTGGTGCCGTTGCAGATGTGCGCGCTGGAGTAGAGCCAGTAGTCGGTGCCGATGGCGATGGCCATGAGCGAGAAGGCGGCGAAGGCTCCGGCCGTGGTCAGCAGCATCTGCAGCCCGCGGTCGCATCGCACCATGGTGGGCGCCTCATAGTCCGCCGCCCGCCGGCCCGGCCCGCCGCGCCCGCCCGCCCTCCTCCTTCCGCGCGCCGCTCCGGGGGCGCCTGGGCTGGGGGGGCCGAGGGCCGGGGGGCGGCGCCGCGCTGCGCTCTCCGACCCCGCGCCCCGGGCGTGCCTGCGCTCGGGCCCCGCCGGGGCTCAAACTCCTAGGCGCGGCGGCGAGTGAGGGCTGC